AGCGGAGGGATGCCGAAGCCTGAGTTCAGCGAGCTTAGGCAGCAGGCGATCAACCGTGGGAAGACGGCGACGGGCAAGGGGAGAGAGAAGAGCAACCTGCAAAAGGCCATGCCCATGGCGGCCCCGCCCCTCGAAGCAACCAGGCATACCCTCCAGAGGGAAAACTCAATCAGATCCTGCAGCATGCTTGCTTTGCGTTTTGATCGTTTTGCTTGCATCTGGGGTGTCTGCTTGATTGTTTGTTCGGCCCCCCGCCCCTTCCCCCCTCAAGGGACGTCGTGAAAACAGCGCGGAGCCGCGAAAACACGACTGGAGCTACAGTTCCCATTCGTGCGCCTGACTTATCTAGTCCAGGGTGTTCAAATATGGCTAGAGCGGATGGGGTCGGAGGATCACGCCGCATCGCCGACGCATCGGCGATGTGGCCCGATCCGTGCTGGTATTGCCGACGATCGGCCCGTGAGGTTCCTGGGGCCTGGAGCAGAGCTCGGCGGCTACAGGGTGGGGCCCCGGAGGGTCGGGGCCCCAGGGATGAGAGCAGGATCCCAAGCCGAACCTTCGCCGTTTGAGGCCATTGGCCATTGCTGTGAAGTCAGCGGGCACAAAGGGTCAGGCGCCGGTCGGAGAACGGATGGAGGCGCGGCAAGGGAAAAGGAAAGGAAGGAGAAAGGCGACAGGGCGGGAGCCGCTCAGAACATGCAGTCCGTCGCGGGGGTGCCGAGGATGCGAGGCGCCGAGGCGCGGCTGCGACGTAGGCAGTGAGGCCGAAGCCGGAGACCGTCCCTCGGCCCCTCTAAGTCGAGACGCCGGGATGAGGACCTCTGGGCTCCGGAGAGGCCATGGTCTTCTGGCCGCCCCCGGAGATGCAGGTCGGGCAGCGTCTGCGTGGCCCAGGCTCGCCGCGGCCAGGGAAGCCCCTCGGCTCCTCACGGTGGCTGCGGGGCCCGACTCCGAGGCGGGAATTTGTCCATGTCCACCGCCCGGAGGGTCCGTTTTCGGAGCCGCGGCAGGCGGTGGATGTGGACATCTTCGGGCCCCCGGGGGCCGGAATAGATCCAGATTCACCACCCGCTGGGGCACCAGAACGTCGGTTCCCAGGTGGTGGATATGGATACATCCCCGCCTCGCACCAACGCATACCATAACATCGAGCATCATGATTCAACTAGTGGTGCCTATGTTTGAGATCGGGGCGCCACACTTCGACTGCGCCCCGCCCCCCCGCGCGCGCGCCAGAGGCTCGCCGCGCAGCTTCGCTCGACGTCGGCCTGGGCCAGCATTTCTAGTCAGACTCTGGCAACTTTACTTGCATGGCAGTCCCCCTCGGGGCCCCATCGGGGGCCCATCCTCAGCAGCCCCGAGGAGCGAAACGGCCCGTGCCCCCTCCCCTCCCCCGCGGCGCACGGGCGCCAGTGCTGCGGAGGACGATCAATGGAGAGGAAGCATGTTGCCAAAGAATCTCCAGATGTCTCGAACATGTCTTAAACATGTTTGAAGCATATTTAGAACAATTGTCCTACATGTTAAAAACGCATTTAAAATTCAACGATACAGGTGTCGGAAACAATTAAGCAACACTCATGCAGAACATATGGTTTGAACCTCCCCCTCTCCCCCCAAATGCAATGTTGGTTTCGGATCTTCCGATTTTGGGGCCTCCGAGCGGTCTTGCGAAAGCCTGCCAACTTTGCATTGCGGGGAGGAGGGGACTGTTGCTTAATTGTTTCCCTCAACCGTGGCGTCGACAACGCCAGGGCGTCCACAACGCCAGGGCGTCCACAACGCCAGGGCGTCCACAACGCCAGGGCGTCCACAACGCCAGGGTGGCCATTGCCGTGGCACCCGCAGCGCCATGGGCCTGCCCCCCTCGCAGCGGCGGGGCCGCCGCGGGGCCGTGCACGCCCTCGGCGGGCGCGGCGTGGGCCGCCGGGCGAAGCGGCGCTGAGCCGCGCGGGGGGCGCGCGGAGAGCCGGGCCCCGGCCACGCGGGTAGCGGGTCCTCCTCCTCCTCCTCGTTCCTCCTCCTCCTCCTCCTCCTCCTCGTTCCTCCTCCTCCTCCTCCTCCTCCTTCTCCTCCTCAGTCCTCCTCCTCCTCCTCCTCCTCCTCCTCCTCCTCCTCCTCCTCCTCATCCTCATCTCATCCTCATCCTCATCCTCATTCCTCCTCTCCTCCTCCTCCTCCTCCTCCTCCTCCTCCTCCTCCTCCTCCTCCTCCTGGAGTGCCCCGCTGCCCTTGACATCCGTGCCCACATGGCGCGGCGTGTCGACGCATCCCAGTGGCCCTTGAGAAACGTGCCTGGAGGGTAGCCTGCGGGGCGCGCCAGGCTTCCCCGCCTCCCTTTTATCTGCTTCCATTGTCTTCCCCATCTGCCCCGGGGGGGAGGAGGAGGAGGAGGAGGAGGAGGAGGAGGAGGAGGAGGAGGAGGAGGAGGAGGAGGAGGAGGAGGAGGAGGAGGAGGAGGAGAAGGAGGAGGAGGAGGAGGAGGCTGCTCTTCCCTCCTCCTCCAACCCCTCATGCTCGGCTCGCCTCCCGCCTCGGCCCCTCGGCCCCCCTGACTGAAGCGAGGGCTCTCGCCCCTGTCCGCTTGATCCTCGCTTCTGGCCTCGATCTCGATCTCCTCCCTCCTGCGATATTCGTCTGCACGGATCCTCCCCCTCCTCCCCCTCCTGCGCCGTCCTCGTCCACGCCTCGCCCCTGGCCGCAGGGTCTTCGTCCTCGCTCCGTTACCCACCCTGCTTCTTGATTGTTTCTCGATGTCCTCTCTTCTGCACAGCCCGTCGCCATCGAGCTTCTCCAGTGAGATGCCGGCCCGAGGCAGGAACTACACGGGGGTGGGCACAGCGCTGGCCCGCCCCCTGTCAGCGTCCTGACCTCTCGCTGAGCCACCCTCCGCCTCCCTCTCTTCCTCTTCCCCCTTGTCTGCCTCCTCGTCCCTCCCTCCCCTCCGGCCCCCTCCCTCCTCTGGCCCCCCTCTGGTCCTCCCTCCCCTCTGGCCCACCTCTGGCCTCCCTCCCCTCTGGCCCCTCTCCCCTCTGGCGCCCTTCCCCTCCCCTCTGGGCCCCCCATCCCCTCTGGTCCTCCTCTGGCCCCCATCCCCTCCCCTGCCCTCCCTCCCCGTGTGCCTCTGCCGTCTCCCTCCTTCCCGCCTCACCCTGCTTCCCCCTTCCCTCGTCCTCGTCCTCGTCCTCGTCGTCGTCGTCGTCGTCGTCGTCGTCGTCGTCGTCGTCGTCGTCGTCGTCGTCGTCGTCGTCGTCCGTCAACCGTCAATCGTCAACCGTCAACCGTCGTCGTCGTCGTCGTCGTCGTCGTCGTCGTCGTCGTCGTCGTCGTCGTCGTCGTCGTCGTCGTCGTCGTCGTCGTCGTCGTCTTCCCTTGTAGTAGGGTCGTGGGGCGGGCGGAAGGACCGGACCGAGCCCCGCCCCCCGCACTGGCAGTCTCGGCCAGTAGCCAGGCCGACCAAAGCGGGCAATGGCCGGCGGCTGGACCAAGTGCTCTCGTCGCTCCGCACCGCATGGCCCGGAGTAGGCGCCGAGGAGCATGTGCGGCTCGGGCTTTGGGGCAGGCGGGCGGACCAGGCCGCGTGCCCACCCCACGCCGCGGGGGTTGGGGTGGCCCTGGCTTGCCCGCTGGCGCGGGCTGGGGTGGGGGCCTGTTGAGGCACTGCCGTCACACCACACCCCAGTGCCCGCAGCCAGCGCAGACCGGGATTGCGACCCGGGGGGCGGCCGCGCGGCCTACCCCCCCCGTCCTCTATCCCTTCCGCTCCCCTCTCGCGCCTCCCCCTTGTCTTGACACGGAAGGTCTCGCCGGTGGCCTCTCAATCTTCTTCTCTGGGGTTGACCTCGAGTTTCCCCCCATCCTCCTGCGCTGCCCATCCGCATCGAGCTCCCTCCCCCGCAGGACCCTTACAGCCCTCGCCAACTTTGAACACGCGGCTGGGCGCGGGGACCCCACCTGCCATCGCCTCTTCTTGTCCTCCTCGGCCTCCTCGTCCTCCCCGTCGCCCCCCGTTCCTCTTCGCTCCCGTCCTGTCGCCGCTGCCGTTGCCGCCGCCGCCCCGCCCTGTGGGGCAGTCCGGCCGGGGCGCCTGGACATCAGGCCGGCAGGGGGCTGGAGGCAGGTCGCGCCCATGCAGCCAGCCAGCCAACCAGCCAACACCAGCGGGCCCGCCAACATCTCGGAGCAGGGCGAGTCGAGACACCAGCAGCTCCGAGTCAGTCCTTGGACGTCTCCCGGGGCGCTGACACACCCGTTCTCCGCGCTTCGTCCAGCCGTGACGACGCGGAGCCCCCGATGGCGGATTGCCGTTGGCTCAGCTGACCCTTCTCCGCTCTTCTGCCCGCTGCGGAGCAGCTCATCCCCAGCAGGGCTGGCGGGGGCAACTCCCGCGCGGCACTCCACCAGCCTCGCGCTGAAGGGGCCACCCGGGGGGTGAACACGTGCAAGAAAGTTTGATCCCGAGCATCACCCAGGGCACTGCGGGCCAGCGGGGGCCCCCGCCCGCGCCGCACTCCACCAGTTCCCATGCTGGGAGGCTGCTGGGTGCACCCCTCCCCTGGGGCTACAGGCCGGGCGCCCCCCCGCACCAGCGTCGGGCGTCATCTGGAGAACCCCTGGCCGCGGGGAGGGCGCGCAGGCCCGGCAATAAGTCGCCCGCCTGCGAATAGGTGCCCGCGCCTGGCGGCCCAGCCTGGCACGCGGCCCCGGTTGCGCGGGCCTCGTCAAGCCGAGCGGAACGAAGGGCCGAGCGGAAGGAAGGCCGAGGAGGATGCCGAGGGAAAGGCCGAGGAGGAGGCCGAGGAGGAATAGGCCGAGGAGGAAGAGGAGGCCGGGGAGGAGGAGGAGGAGGAGGAGGAGGAGGAGGAGGAGGAGGAGGAGGAGCAGGAGGAGGAGGAGGAGGAGGAGGAGGAGGAGGAGGAGGCCGAGGCCAAGGAGGAGGCCGTGGAGGAGGCCGCGAAGGAGGAGGCCGAGCGCCCCACCGCCCGCCGGCCCTCCCGGAGGCGTTTCCGGCACCTTGCGGGGTTCGGGCAGCGCGCCCTCGCTGCCGACCACGGGCACGGCGCGCCCCCGCCTCCGCCCCGCCGTTGTGGGTGGGAAGCCCACGGGAGGAACAGGTACAGTCGGACCGAGGTATACGATCGAGGTCGGCTCGGGGAGGGCACCCTCGTGTTCTTAGTGTTTGTTGGATGCTCTTGTGCATCCTGGCAGGGTACCCTTGGATGCTCTGTGTGCTCTGGTTGGCGGAAGGTCTCGTGCCCTTGAGGGGTGCTCTTCTGGCTTAGGTCCCACTGTACCCATAACGCAACCTTTTGCTCGTGTTCCCCCTTTTTGAGCCTCCTGAGAGGCCCTCGCCACCACCGCTGGATTCGCCTAGAAATTCTGTTCAGGACGCACCCTGGGAGAGGTCCGGGGAGCAGCGGTATCGGTACCGCTTGTGCTCCCCGAGCGGGGGGCGTCTGCCGCCTCTGAGCTCGGAGGAGGCTTCGCCCCAGCCTGCCCTGCGCTCGAGGACTCTTTCTTTTGGTGCATCCGGCGCTCACGCTGTGTGCTGCCACGTTGCAGCACATGCTGTGGATCAGCACGCCCGCGCGGGCTCTGCTCGATCGGCTGGGGGCGCTGCGGGAGGGCCCAGGGCAGCCCAGGGCTCCAGATCGCGGCCGCGCGCCGGTGGCCCGCTCGGGCGCGGTGGCCAGGGCTGCCGGCTGCCAGGCCTGAGCAGGGGTGAAGTGCGGAGAGCCCTGCGGGGAGGGGCAGGAGGACCAAGGATTGTCCACATCTTATCACATCTTAGCTGCCTTGACACGCCCGCTTGGAAGTGCAGCACGCCCCGTGTTCATACATCCGTGTTGACACGCCGCGTGTTGACACACTTCGTGTTGGCTCGGCTCGTGTTGGTACACGTTTTGGCTGCGTCTCGCGGATCGGGGCAGCTAAGGTCCGCATTCTTAGGGAAAAAGGGGGGCCAAGAGGGCAGGAGAGTACAGCGGAGAGCCAGAAGAGGGGCACTCAGGCAAAACCATTGGCACACGCTTCCATCCCTAGGCCCCAAGAGGCAAAATTCATTGATTTTCTATGGGTTTTCGGTGAATTTGGGGGTTTCCCTCTTTTCGGCTTCCCGACGCTCCAAACGGCGGTTTTCTGGGCGTCCGAAACCGCCTGGGGGGCTCCAAAATCGCCCCGCAACCATCCGAAAGTGCTTCCAGGCAGTCCAAGAGAGCACCAAAATGGCACCACAAGGGCCCAAGATGGCCCTGAGAGGGCCCCATGGCGGCCCAAGATGGCCCCAAGACACCCTCCGAAGCATTCCAAATCGCGACCCGGTCGTTCAGGGAGACCGCGGTTGGAGGCAGGGTGACCCGAGGAAGAAGACCCCAGAGGCCCCCAGAACACGCCCAGGAGGCCTCCAGAATGCCTGAAGAAAGCCTGAAAAACTTGTGCGAGGCCCCCAGAGGCCCTCCAAGGAGGAGCCTCCGCAAAAAGAGTTGAGGAGGATGGGGAGAATGTGCAGGGTATGGCGAGAATGAGGAAAAAGAAACATGGAGGAAGGATAACATATCACTTTATTATAACGGCGATGGAAAAGGCAACAAGGAATGATCGATAAATTGTCGGCTTGACTTTCCTGTCATTCCGCGTGCATACTAAACTTCAAGGCTCAAGGTGCATGGCGCGAAGCGCCACTCCAGTCTTACGTATATATATATATATATATATACATAGACATGCATACATACATGCATACATACATTCATGAATACATGAATACATGCATGCATACATGCATGCATGCATGCATGCATGCATACATACATACATACATACATATCTACCTACTTACCTACCTACATGCATACATACAGACAGAGACAGACAGACAGACAGACAGACAGACAGACAGACAGACAGACAGACAGACAGACAGACAGACAGACAGACGTACGTACGTACATACATACATACATACATACATACATGCAGACAGTGACAGGCAGACAGACAGACTGGCTGACTGACTGACTGACTGACTGACATGTCTACATACGTACATACATACACTACTTTACATATACAGATGTATGTACAGATCTACATACACGGGAGCTCGAACAGAGGCGCAAGGAGAAGCGCGAGAAGGCCACAATCGTCAGAATCATTCGTGCTCTGCGCTGTGTTTTGCTCTGGAATGCGTGTGATTCGAGAAGAGGTGCAGAGGCATCCGGGACGGCCCAAGATGGCCCGAAGGACGGCTCAAGATCAGTCCGGAAATGGCCCCCAGAAGCCCCCCAAACCGGCCCAGTAGGCTCCCAGAGAGATCTTTGAGAGGGCCTGGTGGCGCCGGGACGCCTAGCACGTGGAAGGAGGTGCCTTTGGGACGGAAGTGGCGGCCAGAGGTCGCCCCGGCCGCAGCCTGGGCCCTGGGGCTGGTAAGAGGGGTTGCGAGGGTTCAGGGGCAGGGGTAGGTATGAAAGGTGCGCTGGTGAGAGGAGTTACAGAAAGCATTCCTTGCAGACCATGTGGTGGATCTCACACGCTATACCCGGTGGGGCGGCGGATCGCTTCACTCATTCCGCTGGCCCGCATTGTATCATTAGTGCTATATGTTGGTATGCTCGTGGCGAACGAAATGGAGGAGGAGGAGGAGGAGCAGGAGGAGGAAGAGGGAGGAGGAGCAGCAGCCGCAGCAGCAGGAGCAGCAGCAGGAGCAGGAGGAGGGGGAGAGGAGGAGGCCTCTCGATAGCTTCTTGTGGCATTCTTGGGACCAAACTGGTTCGTGGACAAGACGCCTCTTTGGGAGGCTTCTTGGAGATTTTGGGGACCTTCTGGGGCCTCTTGTGGGCATTTGGGGGGCTCTCCTGGGAGCCTGTGGAGCCCTCTTGGGGGACCTCTTGGGCCGTCATGGGCCCTCGGGGGCTGTCTCGAGGCCGTCTGGGAGCCTCTTGGCTTGACTTGGGGCCCTCTTGGGCCGTCTTGTGCGGTCGTGACTCCCAAATCCTCCCAAAACCTCAGGACCATCAAAGAGGCTTAGCGGGGCCCTCTTGGGCCTGCCTGGGATCAACTTTGGGGTATCTTAAGGCCTCTTGGGTTTGTTTTCGAGCCATCTGTGGGCCTGCCACCTATTGATCTCGACCCTTTGGGTGCGATGCGTCGGGTGCCTCAATTATGGCTTGCTAGGAAGCAGAAAAAAGGAAAAAAGGAAAGGCCTGACACACGCACACACACAGACCAAGCCCTACAAGCGCGGTGGCAGACTCACACAAATTAGCGCCAGCGAGGACAACGTACTGAAAGCCACTTGTAGCCCATCCGTGTGGTGGAAAGTTATTACACATCGAATGTGCTCGGCTCCGACGCACTGCCAATCTGCTCGTCTTTTTGAACTGACAAAAGCGAAGTAAGTGTGTTCGTTACGCGCAAGGTCCCCTTTCAGTGCTTGCGCTTAGGGGTTTGTCCTTTTCTTCAGGAAACAGGCCTGGCCGTCGATCCGGTCGGCTTGTGGCCGCCCATCGCCGCCGTCTTTGGTTACGATTTTGATTGTGCGAGGTTCGTACGTTGCATTGTTTTGCCTCATGTTAGGTGGCTGTTCATTGCATTGCTTTCCATTGCACGGCTTTGTATTGGTTCACATGTATTTGCATCGCATTGCATTAATTGAGTTGCATTGCTTTGCATTGTTTTGCGTTGCTCTGCATTGCGTGAAATTGTGTTGCATTGTTTTGCATGGCTTTGAACTGTACTGTTTTGCGAGGCTTTGCGTTGACTTGCATTTGTTTGCACCACGTAGGTGCACCACATGGATTGCACCACCTAGACTGCACCACATTGGTTGCACCACCTAGACTGTGCCATATGCATGGTAGGATATCATTGTTTCGGGCTCACGTTGGCTAACATATTAATAACTTGAAGAAAAAGTTGTGCGACGATAACTCTACATCCAGACGTGAAAGTCGTTTGTTGCTTCATCCATGGAATGGTTGCGGATAGCCAGTGCATATGTGACGAATGTGCGCGTCGTTGAGCGATTCGCAATACTTGAAATGCACGCTTCTTCCATCCGCGTTGCAGGTTTCGACGTTGCATGTCGTAGGTCCACAGGTTGCGAGGAGGCCTGAAGACAACGCCCCGCACCGCACTTCGACACGACTGGTGTTGCGACGTGGAAGAGCTACTTAGAAGCACGAGGCTGGATGAGGAGCAGCAGGGGGGGAACTTGAAGAGGCAGATGGAGGAGCATATCTTAATAGAGTGGAGGACGAATCAAAGGAGGATGAGAGGGGAGGGTGAGGAGACGGGAAGATGTGGGAAAATGGCGAAACAAGGTTGAAGAACTTGAAGGAGGAGGAGGAGGAGGAGGAGGAGGAGGAGGAGGAGGAGGAGGAGGAGGAAAAGGAGGAGGAGAAAAGGATGGGGACGAGGGAGGAGGGGGAGGGAGGAGAGGGAGGAGAAAGGCCCTCCGCCTCCTCCTCCTCATCCTCCTCCTCCTCCTCCTCCTCCCTCCTCCTCTCCTCCTCCTCCTCCTCCTCCTCCTCCTCCTCCTTCTCCCTCCTCTCCTCCTCCTCCTCCTCCTCCTCCTCCACCCCTCCTCTTCGTGATCCTCCTGCTCCTCCTCCTGCTCCTCTCGCGTCTGCTCCTTGTCTTGCTATCTCCCTCCCTCCCTCCCTCGTCCTCCCTTTTCCTCCTTCCTCCTTCCTCCTCCTCCTGCGCCTCCTCCTCTTGCTCCTGCTGGCCTGCACCTGCGCGGCGCAGGGCAAGGTCAGAAGCTACGCCAACTACACCCTCCCCGGACACTACCTCCTCCCCGAGGGGGAGGTCGACACGCGCGAGCAGAAGGCCCCCTCCCCTGCCGGGGACGACGGGCTCGACGGCGATGGCAGCGCCCAGGCCTCGGACGCTTGGCATCGCTCGGACGTGTGCATCTTCTTCTCGGCGAGGACCATCGAAGAGCAGCTCGGATCATCTTGCGAAGAAAAAAACGCGCACGAAGCCGAACAACGCACGGGTAATGGACGTCCGAGCGATGGCGAGGACGGCTCGACGAGAGGATTCACAAAACGAGAGAGGCGCCAGGGGGGGGGGGGGGGAGGGTCGCTGTTTGGGGCGGCCCTGGGGCCTCTTCCTCGCCCCAGGGCCGCCACGGTCGGCGGCGAGCGAGGGGGGGGGGAAAGCGAGGAGGAGACGGCCTTCTCGGAAGGCGGCGGGACCTCTCAGAAGCCCTCGCGCCTTCTGAGAAGTCTTCTCTGTCTTCGGGGAAGTCATGGTGAACTTCTTGGAAGGCCGGGGGGGGTCCGAGCCTTCTGAGAAGGCCTGCCCCTCCTCACTTCCCCCCCGTCGCCCGCCGCCGACGAGAGGCGACCCGGGATGGAAGGCTAGTCCCTCCCCAGAGGGGCATCGGGAAGGAGGAGAGGGAGGAAGAGAGAGGGAGAGGGAGGAAGAGGGAGGAGGAAGATAGAGGGAAGAAGACAGAGGGAGAGGGAGGAAGACAGAAGGAGGAGGAGAGGGAGGAAGAGAGAGAGAGAGAGAGGGAGAGGGAGAGGGAGGAAGGGATAGAGGAGGAAGAGAGAGAGGGAGGAAGAGAGAGGGAGAGGGAGGGAAAGGAAGGAGGAGGAGGAGAGGGAGGAGAGGGAGGAAGAGGAGAGGGAGAGAGAGAGAGAGAGAGAGAGCGATCTGCTCGGGAGCGTCTGGAGGGGGGAGTCGGCCAGACCCTCCCGGGAGGGCCAGTCGGGAGGTCCGGGGGGGGCCCACGTCCCGCGAGGAGCAGGAGCTGGGGCGCCGTCGGCCCCACAGAGGGTCCCACGCCTCCTGGGTGGCGGCGTCGGCCTCCACCCGACACGATCGAAGGGGGTACGATCGAAGGGGGTACCATCGAAAGGGGTACGATCGAAGAGGGGTACCATCGAAAAGGGTATGCCCTTTTCGATCGTACCCTCGATCGTATACGATCGAGGTCGGTCCGGGGAGGGTGCCCTGATGATCTTCTTGCTTGCTGGATGTTCTGGCGCATCCCGGGGGAGGGCCCAGAGGGTCCCAGGCCTCTGGGGTGGCGGCGCCGGCCTCCGCCCGGCACGATCGAAAAGGGTACGGTCGGGCCGCGGTACGAGAGCGAGGTCGGTTCGGGGAGGGTGCCCTGACGTTTTTCGTGCTTGCCGGATGTTCTCGCGCATCCTGGGGGAGGGCCCCCACCCGAAGGTTCTTCAGTTTGGGCCGGCGGAGGGCCTCATGTTCTTGAAGGATGTGTGTCTGTCCCAGGTCCAGCTGTGCGGGAAGACTGGGCATGCAGACCGACTGTAGTTCCTGCCCATCTCGAACAGGGTTCGTTGTCGGGGTCGCTGCGGGCGTTGTCCACTCGGGGCACGAGGCCGCCTGCCCAACAGCGGGCGCTGCCGGTTGGGGAAGGCATGTGTGGGGGGCATCGTGCCCAGTCTTTCCGTGCCCATTTCCGGGTGTCCAAATCCACTGGAGGTGCATGTCTCTCCTATGTGGGAGATCAGAGCCGCGGCTTGGAGGCTCTGGCTCTGTGGGTCCCCCTCCTCCCTCCCGCTCGCCCCCATACCCCTCCGCCACCCCCACCTCGTTTCCCCCCTTGCTGCTCTGAGGCGGCCTCGGATCCCGTGGACCTGGCCCTGGCCGTGCAGGAGGAGGGGCCCTGAGGAACAGGGGTCCTGCGCTTCCGCGCCGTGCTCGGCCTCGTCGGGGCCCTCCCCAGAGCACACGGGGCAGCTTCGGCCTGCAGCCATCCCGGCTCCAGTCCTTCGAGCGTGTGTTGCCCGTGCGCCGCGCGGGCGCGCCGCGCACCCCGAGGCGCCCAGGGCGGCGGCCCGAGCTGGGCAGTGGGCGGGTCGTGCCTGCATGTCGTGGCATGGGCTGCGGGCGCGGGGTGCCCCTCGGTGGCTGCCTCGTGGTGTCTTTTGGCGCCGCGCACGGCGCGCGCCACGCTGCCCGGAGAGGCACACGCCCAGCAGCGCGGGCATATGCGCGCTGGTCGCCGCCTGCGGCGAGGGCAGGCGGCACGACGAGGAGCTGGTGCCGAGCGCCGCAGGTCGGATCGGGTCGGAGGTCCACGCAGGGGGCCCCGCCAGGGAGCCACAGCGGGGGGGCGTGCAGCAACGTTTCGAGCAACTGCAGACCACATGCCCGCCAAAGGCGGGCGGAAGGGATCGGAGCACAAGCGAAGTAAGCTCACCCAGTCCGAGCACGTAGGGTCTACTGAAGGCCGTCGGCACAAACGAGGAGGAGCTGCTGCTGCTGCTGCCTCTGCTGCTGCTGCTGCTGCTGCTGCTGCTGCAGGTGCTGCTGCTGCAGGTGCCCTCCACCTCGCCAGTGAAGCGCGACCAGGCTGGCCGTCAATGGTGGCGGCGGGGGGAGGGGGGCACCCGCCCGCCAGAGGGGCGCCTTGCACACCAGCAGTCTTCAGCGTCCTGGGGGGGTTCTTGAAATGGTGCTCGGCAGCGCGCCCCGGGCCCGGGGGGGGAGTGAGAAGGGGCGGGCTTTCTCGGAAGGCTTGGAAGTCCCCCGGCCTTCCGAGAAGTTTGCTAAGCCTTCCCCAAAGACACAGACAACCGCTGAGAAGGCCCGAGGCCTTCTGCGAAGCCCCGCCGCGTTCTGAGAGGGCCTCCTCCTCCTCACGTTTCCCCCCTCGCTCGCCGCCGAGGTGCGTTCCAAGCGAGCTACGGCATAGCATTTTGGGGGGCCCGCGTTGACGCTTCCAGCGATCGTGGAGGACCTGGGCAGAGGGGGCCGTCCTCTCTGTGGCAGAGGTGGGCCTGGACTTCTCGACCGGCGGTGACGTTCTGCCGAGTCAGGAGATCGATTTGGTGGAGGAATTCCACGGGCCGGTTCACCATCCGACCCGCGCGACCAGGCTCGTGAATGTCAGTCACCCAGCTGGCCAGCTGGCACTGCTCTTCCCCGCCCCGTTTGGCGGCGGCCACGTCAGAACACACCTGATGGGTATCCGTGACGCGGGGTGCTAGCAAGATGCAGGCCACGAACTCAACAAACAAAACACACAACCACCACCAACAACAGCAACAGCAGCAGCAGCAGTAGCATCAACAACAACAACAACAACAACAACAACAACAGCAACAACAACAACAATACTATTAATAAGACTCTTCGCTCTTACCTACTCGCGTGCCGTTCAACACGTACATCCCAAACCTTTGATGCCCGCCTTCTTTGTCTTCGATCGTCCCCCCCTTGATAGCAGATTTTCCTTACCTGCCACGTGTAGCTGGCGCAGCCCCTCAAGCAGGAGGGAAAAGGAGGGACGGTGGAGGGAAGAGACAAAGGGGGAGGGATAATGATGGAGCACGAGAGAGATTTGCAGCAGGGGCTGGGGAGCAGGAGCGCAAACGACGGGCGGGTCGAGCGGGCAGACCCTCCCGGGCAGGTCGGGCGGGCGGGCGGGCGGGCCCAGACGGCCAGGTCGAGCGGGCGGGTCGCTGAAGCGTCAATCTGACATAAATTGCAAGGAACTTTCGAGCGATGGCGCGATTACCAAGTACATCGTGATGAGATTTTAAGGGCGAGCGTCATTCCTGAGTGTTGGGAGCGCGGCGCCACAGTACACTGCCAGGAAGTACCACGCGAGAGCGCGATTCCTGGATTCCTGGATAAGGTGTGAGGAGGTCCCGCGCGAGAGGGCGACTTTGAAGTAAGGAGGAATTAAGCGGTTGCCGCTGTAGTTGCTGAAGCTCGGGGGTCAACACCGCATTCTCAGCCTCAAAGGTTTTTCGTTGTAATGAACAAGATGCGAGCCCCGGGAGGATCACCTCAAATTAAAAATACACAGTTGCACCGGAGGGAATATACAATCACTATTTTTAGAAATTAGAAGTAAGAACGCAACAACAAAAATATTGTTAAGACTCTTCGCTCTTACCTACTCGCGTGCCGTTCAACACACACATCCCAAACCCTCGATACCCGCCCTGTTTGTCTTCGATCGTCCCCCCCTTGAGGGCATCTTTTCCTTACCTGCCACGTGTAACTGGTGCAGCTCCTAAAACTAGGGAAGAGACGAATGATGGAAGGGGAAGTGAGAACGATGGAGTACGAGAGAGATTAGCAGGAAGGAGGCTAGGAGCAGAAAACACGTGGCAGAACCAGACGGGCTGAAACGGGCAAGTCGGGAAGGCGGGCCCATGCGGTCAGGTCGAGCAGGCGGGCTGCTGAAGCGTGAGTCCTGGATGAATGGCGAGCGATAGCACAATTCCGAGGTGAATCGTGGGAAAAGGCAAGATCGAGAGCGCGATTCCTGAGCGTCGAGGGCGCGGCGTCTGAATGAATTGCGAGGAATTCCAACGCGAGAGCGCGATTGTTTCATAAATTGTGAGGAGCTCCCGCGCGAGAGCGCGATTTTGACATAAATGATGAGGGGGTATCAGGCGAGATCCATTGTTGTTGTTACTCGGGGGCCCGGGGCCCACTCTGAGGAGAAACATTTTCTTTTGTAAGTGATAGGGTGGGAGCCCCGAGAGGAGCACTTCAACTGAAAAACACCAGGTGTACCGGAGGGGGGGATTGACAATAGTGATTTTTCAGACATGAGAATCCAATACCCGCCCTCTTTGTCTTCGTTCGTATCC